TTAAATATATATATATATGTATGTTAAATATGAACATATATATATTGTAGGCCTGTCGCATGCACATGTACGAGTGAGTATCTGCACACAGCGGCACATTCAATTGGTGACTGATGTGATGTCTGCGTAACCAAACGTTTCCATCATATTTGATATAAACGTGCGACCGTCCAACTTTGGGGTTTTAGGGTTTAGGGTACCCCTAAACCCTAAATTCTAAAACTGTTGGCTACTTTCCCTTACATTCCAATATGTGCTTATATAGGCTTATATGTATTGTCATATGTTCAAACATGTGTTTATAACGCGTTAATTTCCCATACCTGTGAGATCACACCCCACCAGCTCGAATGTCAGGGACTGAATGCACGTGGCATTGCTAGGCATAAAGATACATTCATCAGTTACACTCCATGGCCGCGTCACCAGGGCGTCGTCCTGGCGACCAAGAGAACAAGATAAAAATAGAAACCAATCAGAAAGCCCGACCAATAACACAAGATAAAAATAGCAGCCAATCAGAAAAAAATTGTGAGGTAATAGCAACCGGACGGCGAATTGAATAACGAGGACATAGTTCACGGAGACCAGTTGAATTCTGGGTTGAGAAAACGTGTATGCCCTTGAGAGTGTATTGGGTTGGTTAGCGAATGCGCACTGCGGGAATAATACTTTAAGCTTCCGAAGCAAGATACTCAAATAGTCAATAGCGGTACGCAAATGGTTAATAGCGGTACGCAAGTGTTTAACAGCCGAAAAGAGAAGTGGCAGATACGGCTCATACGCCGAGGCTAGAAGGCTACTTCAGATATATTTCATCACACCAGATAAACGTAATCGTAACTTTATATATATATACACACACACACACACACACACACACACACACACACACACACATATATATAAGGAGATAAAAGTTCGCATGTGTGTATTGATACGTACCTCCAGCTCACTGGCAAACACATCTCCTGTGGCGCCAGTGGGGATGGTGAACGGTGCCATGATGAAACTGTTAACCACCACTGAGCGCACAAGGTCGTCTCGCTCAATGTTGACGTTGACTTCAAACAAGAGAGCCTGAGAAGGAAACAGTGACGGAATAAGCAGTAGCCAAATAGGCCATGAGGAAATAAGGCATGGCTGCAAAGACACTATGAAGAACCTCAACTGGGCAATCAGCGCTTGGAAAGAGAGAGCAGTGACACAATAAGCAGTAGCCAAATAAGCCATGAAAATAAGGGATGACGAAATAAGCCATGAGGAAATAAGTCATGACGAAATAAGCCCTGGCTACGACCCAACAGTTGACCCGGAGTGCCCACCTGTGGATCAGCCAACTCGTTGGTACTGGCAGTGCTTTCGCCCGAGAACACCTGCTGGTTCGCCTCATCGTAGCGGATATCATAGGACGTCGTCAGTACATACTCAAACTCATCCGACGTTGTATTGGCCAGGCCAGCCTCAAGAGCCTGTGGAATGGGCGTGTGTTGATAAGTCATGTGATGTATGATACAATTGGTGTGTCATGTGATGTATGATTCAATGGGTGTGTCATGTGATGTATTATTCAATGGGTGTGTCATGTGATGTATGATACAATTGGTGTGTCATGTGATGTATGATACAATGGGTGTGTCATGTGATGTATGATTCAATGGGTGTGTCATGTGATGTATGATACAATTGGTGTGTCATGTGATGTATGATACAATGGGTGTTTCATGTGATGTATGATACATTGGGTGTGTCGTATTAAAAAATGTGATTTATTGAACGTCGTATTGGGCAGAATGCCTTCAGGAATCACCACGACGGAATACAACCAAACGGAGAGTACAGTAATACACTTAGTTTTTTTAACAGTGTTGTTATATCAAACGAAGAGTATAGTAATACACTTAGTTTATTATAACAGTGTTGTTATATCAAACGGAGAGTATAGTAATACACTTAGTTTATTATAACAGTGTTGTTATATCGAGTGTGATATTCAGGAACGCAATAGCATACACCAGCACACAGCACAATACAATACAACACAACATAACACAACACAACACAACACAACACAACACAACACAACACAACACAACACAACACAGCACGTGCCTGGCGTCTCCGGCGTCTGCGGTTGAATATGGGTGTAAACCATGCGTCCACATACACAGGCTCTCCTGTGGTAGGCGACACCTGTGGTTGGCCGAGGGAGTCGAGGTTCTGTATGGGCAAACCCGTGGCATCATAAACCGGCACCCCGGGGAACATGACCTGTATGCGCGGCGGATGGATAGAAAAAACTCGGTTTATCGAGCGAGAAAAACCCCAGCTGGGTCGATGGTCAGTGTGAATGGTCTTCATGTGTGAAGATTGTGAGAAAGAACTAAGTTTGTAGTGAATTGCCTCCCATCCACGCACCCGGCAAGTACAACTCATGGGAAAATGTATTAACCAACGTAACAATAACAGACTGCACACGTACCTGGCCAGAGACGCTGTGAATGGTGTTATTCGCGAGGAATAGGAACAACGGCTCTTGATTCTCATTGAACATCTGTGTCTGCGTTAACGGATTGGTGATCGGCACCCACCCGTCGGCTTGCATTTGCGCGGCTACTTGCTCGGGCGTTCTGGTAGAGGACAAATAAGGAGGAGTGCGTAACCGTTGAGACAAGAGTGCTTCCCACCTCAATTATATGTGAATCGATCAGATATGCACTGGTGAAAGTAGACTCGGTACACGCCTTCAGTACACTAACACGGTCAAATCATCTCGACCAATGAAAATCCACCGATACGGACGCAGTTATATCCTCTCGACCAATCAAAACACTCCAAATGCCTGAATATCCACCACTTACAAAGCCTCCGTCTGTGCAGGCGTGTCTGCTGTGGCTGGCTCGGCCGTGTCCTGTGTTTGCGGAGTTCCTATTGGCTGTCCGTAGACGTCACTGAACAGCACCCGACCGTTGGCATCGAAGAGCGGTTGCCCATTGGCGTCAACCGCTGCAATGGGTAGCCCAGTGCTGTCGAATGCGGAGGATCCGGAGGGTAAAGTCTGAAACAAGGGTGAATAGGCATGGAGGAGTGAATAATAGAAAGGGCAATGTGGATAAGAAAGGGGATGTAGGTAGAGAATTGAGAGGAATAGAAGAGCAAGAGGTGGATAAAGAAATAAGGAAATGAAGATGACGTGAATAATACACACACACACACACACACACACACACACACATATATATATATATCAGGCGTCAACTACGCCAATTTCAGCCCCCATCACATCAGTCATAGCACACAGTCAAAAAACACACAAAAGCACACCTCCACGCACGTAGCTACTAGGCTACTCACATTACTACATCAACATACAGCACACTAACACGTATCGTTACTAAGGTAAACACATACCAGAATACCTGAATACAGAGATACAGCCAGGTATCTATGCGCACTCATGCTCGACTCAACGTGACATACCTACACACTAACTGACACACACACATACCTCGCCATAGACAGTAGCCACGCTGCCATCTGGGTGACGGAATAGCGGCAGGCCTTCAGCGTTCATAACGTAGGTGCCGTCTGTGTTGAAAAATGCGGTGAAGCCATTTGAGAGCATCTGATTGGCGGCTATTTCCGTCTCGGACAATCTGGGAGTTGGAGTATCAGAAACGTATCAGCATGTGCGTATCGGCATGTGCCTAAGTGCGCGTTTGTGTGTGAGGTGGGTGTGTCGTTGAAGATGATTCCGAGACACATACCTGTATACATACATACA